CAGCGGAGCGCCTGAGGAGCCTCCCCGAGGTGCACTACAAGCAGAGGGACAAGGAGTTGTCGTAATGAGGAGTGGCGGAGCCAGCTCTTGGCTGCATTTGGGGAGACTGGGGGGAAGAGTCAGCTGAGGAGTGGGGAGAGCTGAGGCCTGGGAACTCAGTGTCCCTTGTGACCCCTTTGATCTCCCCTTTGATCTCAGGAGAAGCTCTCCTGATCCTCATCCGCAGCTTGACCCAGCTTGGGGACTGGTTTTGCCTGTTCAGGAACCCAAGTCCTAATCTTGTGGCATCTTTACAAGGGTGGTGCTGTTCATTCTTTCTGTTCCCCACCCCATGCTGTGTCTTCCACCTCTGTACTACCACTAAAGGGCTTACTCTTCTTACCAGTCCAGTCTCACTGGTGGGACTGGGAGTGCTGCCTGCCCTGTGGAGGGGCACAGCCCCCCCCATGCCAATAAAACCTGGAAGCAAAGTGCCTCTGCCTCTGCCCTCATGGCTTTTGGCCCTAGGTGGGAGGTTTGGGGTTTCTGGTGGGGAACCTCAGCTGCTGGGGGGGCAATAGCATTGGGGTCCTGCAGGGGATGTGTGGTCAGCCCTATGCGCCCTGCTGCTGTCCCTGTCTCTGTGTTGCCTACTCTTCCTCCCTGGGGGGAGCTCTGAGCCTGTCTCTGAGCAATGGCAGCTGGGGAGGAGGGGAAATGGGAGTCGGGGAGGAATTGATGCCGCCAAAAGCTTATCCAGCTCCTGGGAGTGGGCTAAGGCCTGGCAAACTCATTACATGGAGACTGCTGGTCAGGATGCTCGGCCCTGGAGCTGCTTTTCTTCGATTTCTCTGCCTGGGTCTGGTGGGCTGCAGCCCTTGTCCTGCCTGCCACCTTGGCGCAACAAGGAGCTAGTTTATCACCAGTCTGGGGGCTGGCAGGGGTTCCAGCTCTGCTTGTGGTGCTTATGGTCCCTTTTCCTCTGCCCTGTGCCTGCCCGTGATGTGAGGCAGCAGCAGCCCAGTCCCTGGGCAGAGAAAAGGAAGCTCTAACCAGCTTTGTGCTCTCCCTCACTGCAACCCTTTCCCCCAGGGAAGCACTAGGGCTGTGCAGGTGTAGTTTCTGCACAGTGAAACCCCACAGCTGGTGCAGGGGGATACCCAGTGCCATCTGCCATCATGTCTTCACACAGATAGTTTTTATTTGTCACTAAAGGGCCATTCTCATAACTTCTTAATGAGGCCTCTTTCCTTGTCAAGTCTGAGAGTGGCCTCCTGGGGGCTAGAAATATCTTGTGAGGAGATAAATGCTCTCCTCCTACCTATGAGATGACAATTTGTGGCAAAGACTGTGCCCTTCTCCTGCCCCAGCTGTGCCTCACTGTGGGGCTGGGGCAATGAGAAGAGCCCGATCAGTGTGGGGCTCGGAGCTGGGCTGGATATGACCCTCCTGCACACTAGCACTCATCATCCTTCGTGATCACCCCATCTCAGAGCCCACGAGCCATCCTAATACCTGGCCTCAGGGCTCCCCAGGTGCCCAAGAGGTTTTTGGGGGGAAGCGGTGGGTTTTGGGGTGACCCTTGAGCTTGTAGCCATTGATGTACACAGCATCCCCCCATGTGGCATGGGGGGCTGTGCCCAGCTCAGAGTCTGGCCTCTTGCAAACTGATTTCTTCCCTCTTGGACCAAGCAGCAGCCACCTCCATTGCAGCCCCCATCCCTTCTCATCACAACAAGTGCCTTTGCGCCAACCTCCGAACTTCCCCGCTTTTCCCCAGGGCCCTGGAAATCGGCACTGAATTGGCTTAAATGTGGGCATCCAGACTGGGGTAATTAGCCACTGAACCGGTTGTAACGAAGCTAGTCATCTCCCTGCACACGCAGTTAGCTCTGATTTAATAGCCCACCAGCTCCCAGCCCGGGCTGCAGTGCCTCAGCTCGGGACCGTAAATGAGACTCGCAGTAAGTCAAGCGGTATTAAACTTTACAGTCGCCGTCTTTAAAAACGAGACTCTCTCTCTCTAATAAATCAGTGCAAGTGGGATTGTAAATATCGAGGCAGGATCCATATTGCTTAATTAAACAGTGCCTAATGAACAGCCTGTTTGCTGTACTGTGATTTAGGGTGGAGGCTGGCGAGGCGGCGCGTGCTGAGGAGCGCTGGTACCCATACTGGGATGCCTTCCCCGGCAGGTAGCATCTGCTGGAGTTTAGCTGCTGCTAAAGAAGCTTAGAGATGGCCTGAGAATTAAATTACTACTTTTTTTAAAAGTAAAAATTAAGTCCCCTCCCCCAAAACATCTGGGAATCAACAGCAGGTGCAGGAGGAGCAAAGGGTACAACCGGGTGTGAGAGCTGGACCCTGGCTATGCTGAACCCTCCCCTTCCTCATGACAGATGCACCTCCTCTTGTCCCGGTATTTTTAGCTTGTGTGAGGTGGTGTGAAAGGCTGGAAGGGAGTAACGATCTTTTCCTGTGACAGAGGGAGATGCTGGGGGTGCAAAGGCATTGCAATTCATAGGAACCGTTGCTGCCATGCTGTAAAACCCCAGAGCCTTTTATATTTTGGTAGTTACAGTCCAGTTGTAATCAAAAAGTGATTTATGGTTACATTAAAAATGTCTAGCTGGGTGTGGGATAGTGGAGCAGAGGGGCTGCAGGGCGCTCAGCCATTGCTCCTGACCTGGGAGCGTTGAAGAGAAACTGAGGCCAGTGGGGTTTCTCTGTAGGGATGTAACTCGATGCTCTTTCACTTGTGCAAGGAAACTGTTGGGAGATCCTGGGAAAATGGGGTCACCTTTGTCCTGAGGCCCTGTCCCCCAGCATCAGGGCAAATACATCTTCCACAATCCCTGCCCAAATTGCTCTGGAAGGACGAGCAGGTTAGGTGATGGAGGAGCCAGGGGAGCTGAGACGAAGCTCAAGCACGGAATTAATGCATTAAAAATGCACTGGCGTCCCATGGAGGTGTTTGCTGCCTCTGCAGTGTGTAAATAGGGCTGTGAGGGATTAGGAAAGGACCACAGTGCTTCTTTTCTGAGCAAGCAAGTCCTGTGGTTTTTGAGGAGCAAGGGATAAATCCAGTGAGAGATATGGAGATGTAGAAAGATGGCTGGGAATTTAGTCTCTTCTCCATCCTGTTTTCTGATGCCACTGAAATTAATGTGTCAGTCTACCAAGGGATGTGGTCTCCCCAGAGCTGCTGGGGCTTTGGCTTGCTTGAGACAGACCAATATGTTCGCTTAGGTTGTAGCGGTGGCTGTCTCCACTGTCACCCCCGTCCTGCACATTTGAGAGACCCAGAGCATCCCCACCTCTGACACTGACTCCTTCTGTGGCCATGGGTAAGTCCTGGGATGCTGCTCTGGGATGCTGCCTGGGTGTGCAGAGACCCTTTGGCATGAGCACTCAGTAATGGAGGGCAACTGCTGGAGGCACATCTGTCACCTTGGGTTGTGTGTCTGTGCCCTAGGCAGCTGCTAAAGGCTGCAGAGCTGCTGCAGATCCTGCGTCCCCAATTCTGCTCACCCCTCTTCCTCTCCTCCCTGCCTTCCAGCACAGGTGAGACACTAAATATCGAGCAAAGGAAGTTAATCTGTGACCAGAGTGTTTTAATCAGAAAAAGAGGTATTTAGTGCAGGCCTGCTGGCTCCTGCCAAACTGCAGTTTTACGGCCCCTCCTGGTGCTGGGTTTATGGCAGTCATTTCATTCCAGTTTTACTGTTGTTTTTGCCCTTATCATTGAGTTTCTCCTTGCCTGCTGCTGCCTGTGTCTGAATGGGGCTTTTAGGAATGCAATAAGAAAGAAATTAGTAAATTAGTTTAAAAAGGAAGGAAGGAAGGATGAAAGAAAGGAAGAAATGGAGGGAGGAAGAGAGGGAGAGAAGACAGGAGGGGAGGCAAACAGGGAGGGAGGGAAGGCTAAATCCCTCCCATTTCTATCTAAAAGACACCATCAGGCATTTAACATAAAAACAATTAAAAATTTTAAGCAGATGCTAAACACTGTGGTGCCCTGCAGCAGGCAGCTCCATGCTGGGGGGAGACCTGCTATGCCAGGAGAATGAAAAACAGAACCCAAACCACTTTTAGATCTTGGCTTGGAGGGACACACAGGAGCGTGGGAGCAACCTCTGGGGCAGTAGACAGCACCCAGCTTGTCCTGGGCTGCCTGGAGCTTCTCCCTAGGGCTCAGCAGCTGTCTTGACATGGATTTTCCAATGGGTTGAGACCAGCAGGAAACAATTTTGGAGGTGACTTGCCCATGCCTCAGCCAGCTGGTGTTTTTTCCTCTGCTGATGGTCATGTAGATCTCCCTGCAAGGGATTTTAGAAGCCCTTGGGGACCATGTGTTGTAGGAGGGCTGCTCGTCCCAGGTGGACGTAACGGGATGTCTGCCTGCCGGCAGCAGCAAGCCGTGAGTTCTGCATGGGATTTAGGACAGCAGCTCCAGGGGTGGAATTTAATTTATTAATCATCTGAAACATGTGAGTAATTAAGTACTGTCACACTGCAGCATCTATGTAGTCACTAAGCAGTGGATTCCCCCAGGTACTCCAGATTTCTCTGGGACTGGGGAGGTACCTTGGGGCTCAGCTCTCAGCAATGGGAACCTATCACTGTGTGTGGTTTAGAGCCTCTCTCCCATCCCGGGATCCTACTCTGGGGTCAGGGGCTTCCTCTGACCCAAGAGCGTCCA